CCCGGCTGTCTGCAGAGGACGTGTGCCACTGTCACAGCCAGGCCCCTGCGCCCCAACCCCAGAGTCCCCAAGAGAAGCCACCCCACCACGGCCTCCCCTCCACTCCCCTGCCGTCCTGAATTCAAAAGGAAAGGAACTTGGAGATCTTTACAGGCCACACTTTACCCGTTCCCAACCTGGGGGACCCCCGGAGTCCTGGGGACCCAGAGCCTGGCCACCACCCTCAGGAGGGGCCTGGGGGGTTACAGATGCCACGGGTGCCAGTCCTCAACTCTGGCTGCTACCCAGGACCTATGTGCCCTCAAGACACTGGCCGTCTGCACAACTGTAGTAGGACAGCCGGACACAGGGGGCCTGGGCTCCGTCACCTGTTAGATAGATAAACCAAGTATGGCCTTTCCTGTTTTTTTTTTTTTGTACTGGGGGGTTGAACTCAGGGCCTTCACATTGAGCTACATCCCCAGCCCTTTATTTGTTTACTTTTACAGACAGACTCTCACTAAGTCACTAACTTGGCCAGCCTGGGCCCAAATTTGAAATCTGCCTGCCTCAGCCTCACGAGAGTGCTAGCATTACAGGCATGTGCCACCGTGACTGGTGAAAGCATGGCTTAGCTTTCAACCGAGTGTACCGCCTCAGCTCCAGGTACCTGTTGGCACCTGCAACATATGTGATGGAGAGGGGTCGGCTGGCCAGATGCTAAGTACGCGCTGTGGTAACATCTGTCAGAACAGAGCCCATGGCCAGGCGTGGTGGTGCACACCTATAACCCTGGCACTCGGGAGGCTGAGGCAAGAGGATCTCCGAGAGTTTGAGGCCAGGCTGGGTTACATGTGAGTTCAAGGTCAGCCTGAACTACATAGTGAGACCCTGACTCGGAAAAATAAAACAAGAACAGAGCGCACCCGGGAGTGGGGGTTCCCGCTGCAAAGGGGAGGTCTGAAGGTTTTGGACATAGTCTGCATCTTGGTCTGGATGGCTGTTTACAGGGATTCACACACACACCAAAGAAGTGTGACTGAAAAACACGCGGTGGATGTTTTCAGTTTTCTGGGTTTTGTTTTGTTTTGAGACAGGTTCTCATTATGCAGCCCAGACCGACCTGGAACTCCTGGCGATCCTCCTGCCTCAGCCTCTGGAGTGCTGGGATCACAGGCCGTGCTGCTACACCCACTTCCTTCTTGCCACTTTCTGAAGCCGTTCTGAAACTCTCTTTCACAAGTGTCGTTAGTCAAGCGCCTGGCCTGCCTTTCTGTTATGAATCCCTTCGAAACATTTTCCTCTCGTGCTCATTTTGACTTCAGGGCAGAGGCAGAAGAGGCACAGGGCAGATCTGGTGAGCGAGATAGAGGAGGCCGTGATGCCTGTACGCGCCACCTGGCGCTCGGCAGCATTCACCACGTGTTCAAGTCACACCTGGTAAAGACACTCAGGGAAGAGGCGAGAGCAACGGCACCAGTGCACGTTCAAAGAGAGGGAAAGGTTTTACAGGGGATTAATGGCGACGTCTTTTACTGTAATGCATCTTAGACAGGTGGAACCATTCACTGTATATTTGATCACACCTTGAATGTGCACATAAGAATGCCTTGCGTTGTTACCCAAAGCTCTGTTCACTTTATTACACTTATATTATACAAAAAGGAACATTAAAAAGTAAAATACTGCCACTGGGCCCCTTCCTGACGTGTCTGGCTTACTCCATCTGGAGTGTGGCTGCCCTCAACCAGCCTTGAAGGGCCCACGGCAGCAAGTGGGCAGCAGCAGGGCCGAGTCCCTCCATCCCAGCGCCTGGTCCCCACCTCCTCTTGGCCCAGCAGGAAGACGCCTTGGAGAAGGAACAGCTGTTTTGGTCTCACCGCCTGGCCTGGGGCCTGGGGCTCAGTGCCCAACTGCTGAGTGGAATCAGCGAGTTTGGGATGTGATGCACTGTCATCTGAGAAGCCCTTCGCTGCATTTTGTTTTGTTTTTCAGTACTGGGGATGGAACCAGGGCCCACTGAGCTACCTGCCCTTTTTATTCTCTTTGCTGTTTGAGATAGGCTGTCACTAAGTCACTCTCAAACTTGCGATCCTCCTGCCTCAGCCTCCCAGAGCACTATGATCACAGGCATGCGTCACCACGCCAGCTCTGAGAAGGCCTTTGGGGGAATGTTATCATCACCCACTTCACTACTCAGGACTCTCCCAGTCCCTCCTCTCTCTGAGATTGTTGCTCAGACCTGAAACATTCAGAACAGTGCATAGAACCCGGGAGCCATTGTGCTAAATGTGGGACACGGAGAGGAGAAAGGTGCAGCCCAGCCCACGGCTAGGTGCCGCCCAGTGATAGGGGCCTTCCCAGGAACACAATGTACGAGGGAGCTGGTGATGGTGCTGGCGTTGGTGCTGGCAAGCCCAGCCAGGGCAGTGTAGCCAAACAGGCAGTAACAAAATGGGCCGGGGTGTAGTTCAGTGCCAAGGCCCGGCCTAGTCCGGGATGGGGTGTGAAGGGACTTGGATTTTTCCGAGTGATTTGAGAGCCACTGGAGAGACTTGAGCGGTGACTTATTTGCTGTTCTAGGAGGGGCACTGTGAGTAGCAGGGAAGGGGATCTCGGGGCTGTCTCAGGAGACTGCACCCCACTGCAGCTACCTGTGAGCCACACATCTGCCTTTCTTTCAGTCCTGGGGATTGAATCCAGCCAGGGCACTTTTCTACCGAGCAGTGTCCCAGCTACCCCATCCTTTTTTTTGAGACAGGGTCTGACTGTGCAGTCAGGCTGCCCTTGAACTCACTATGTAGCCCGGGCTGGTCTCCAACTCTCGGTGATGCTCCTTTCTCAGCCTCCAGAGTACTGGGATTACAGGCGTGCGCCATGTCTGGCCCCCACATTTGTGAAACAAGCTCTCGCTAACTTCCCCCGGCTGGCCTCAAGCTTTTACTCCTCTTTCCTTCGCCACTGAGCAGCTGCAGCACAGGGGCGTGAGCACATCCGCACACCCGCCTTTTCTCGCAGGTTGTTTTTCGTAAACCTATTAGAGTGGTGCACACCTGTAATCCCTGCACTCTGGGAGGCTGAGGCAGGAGGACGGCACGTTTGAGCCCAGCCTGGACAACTGAGAGACCCTGTCTCAGAGTCAAAATATATAAAGGGCTGGGATGTAGCTCAATGCAAAGAGCCTGGTTCAATCCCCAGTACTACAAAAACTTCCTTGTCTTTGATGTCTTACTTCATCATAATATGCTCAGGCATGGGTTTGTTTTTGTTTTCCCAATTTGGTATTTGTTAAATTTAGTTACCTAGATCTGGTGTTTACTTATTTGTTTCTTTGGTTTAGTTTTCTTGCTTTGTTTTTTTTATTTTTTTAAATTTATTTTTTGGTACCAGGGGTTGAACTCGGGTCCTTGTGCTTGCAAGGCAGGCAGCGGAACCACTGAGCTAAATCCCCAGCCCTGTTTTTTTTTTAGACAGTCTCTCTGTACAGTTCAAGATGGTTTTGAACACACTTTGGAGCCCGGGCTGGCCTGGAACTTGCAGCAATCCTCTTGCCTCAGCCTCCTGACTGCTGTGATCACAATGGGTGTCTGTCATCACATCCAGCAGTTACTTAGATCTGAAGTGTGTTGTCTTTGAAAAATTCTGCAAAATACTCTCATAGTATCTTTTTAAAACACTTCATTACCTCCATATGTGAATTTTTGTATACAAATATTAGACTTTCTTATTTGAGCCTTTATGCCTCTTCTCCTTGTTTCAAATGACCCATCTTCTTCAGATCCTTTTTCAGATTGTATATTGTTTTCCCTTTTTTTTTTTTTTTGTACTGGGGATTAAACCCAGCACCTTTGCCCTGAGCTACATCCCTAGCCCTTTAAAACATTTTTTTGTTTGTTTGTTTGTTTGTTTTTGAGACAGGGTCTCACTATGTAGTTGAGACTGACCTGGAACTCTCCATGTAGCCCAGGCTGGTCTCGAACTCACAGTGATCCTCCTGCCTCAGCCTCCCGAGTGCTGGGATTACAGGCATGCGCCACCACGCCCGGGTCTCTTTTATTTTTATTTTTTATCTTTATTTTTTTTAGAGACAGGGTCTAACAAGTTGCAAAATTGCTCTGGTTAGGCTCGAATCTGCGATCCTCCTGCCTCAGCGACTTTTATTGATAAAAGCAGTTAGAAGGTGGTTCCCCGCGGCAGTTTCCTCGCGCAGGCGCCCTTAGGAGTTGCGCACATCTAGCCACCCTTTTCTCAGGCACCGCCGAAGCCACCCCAGGCAGCGCGTGGGTCCTGGCAGGGGGCGGGGCCTCGCAGCCCGGAAGAGACGCCGCGTCGCGCATGCCCCTTCCTTTCTAGCCTCGGCCTCGCAGCCTAGAGCCGCTGCGGTGAGTTCCTCTGTCGTTAGGGTTCCATCGGCCTCCATCCGGGCCATTCTGCCACTATTGCGACCGCGCGTCTCCAGGGTCAGGGCCGGGTTCCTCTCTTCTCCTCACTCACCCATTTCTAAGCAGCTTGAGCAACTGGGGCGCAGTTCAAGGAGTTAGGGGAGCGCTTTGATTGGAATTGGAGTCCGGATGGCGGAAGACCGAGGGGAGTTTGAAGCCCTTGCGTGGCGGGGACCAGCAGGCGAGGCTGGAGAGACAGGAACTTGCCTGCATGCTTTTCCTTTCCGGCAGGACTTCTTGCTCGGGTCTGCGCCCTGGCCTGGCCCTGGGGTAGTTTGGGGTAGTTTGGGGTAGGTAGGTTTCGGAAATTGTCACGTCAGGAAGCTAGGGCTTTTCTATCCTTGGATTCTCCCTGTGTACTAAGGGAACAGCTTCGAGCTTCGCACTACCTAGGTACGGTCGCTGGTGGGCCCCGGGGGTGGGAGATCGAAGCGTCTCTGCCCACCCCCAGCACTCCGGGTTTCACACACCGCGGTGGTTATGAAGCTTGTGAAAGTAGAGCCCGGGTACCCTCTCCCTTCCGCGTCTTGTGCCACCACCGTTAACTCACTGGGCAGTGACGGGTCGATTTCGGCTCATGCACGCCCTTGATACCCGGACCTCGGCCACCCTTGACGTTCTCTCGTCGGTCGCAGATGTTGATGCCCAAGAAGAACCGGATCGCCATTTACGAGCTCCTCTTTAAGGAGGGAGTGATGGTAGCCAAGAAGGACGTGCACATGCCCAAGCACCCGGAGCTGGCAGACAAAAACGTACCCAACCTTCACGTCATGAAGGCCATGCAGGTATGGGGCGGATGGAGATGGGGTTTCAAACTAATGTTCCAGGCAACGTCCAAGAAGCCTGGACAGCCCTGGCTACCTTTCACGTGCAGAGCTCCAGACTTGTACTTTTTTGTTTCGCTTTTGAGATGGTCTTGCTGTGTTGCCCAGGGTGGGCACAAAGGATCCTCCTGCCTCAGCGTCCTCCCGCCCCCCCGGAGCAGAGACTGTAGCAGAGACTGTAGTCTTGTACCATTGTGCCCAATCTTAACTGCTGTTTCTGCCTTACAGTCTCTCAAGTCCCGTGGCTACGTGAAGGAACAGTTTGCCTGGAGACATTTCTACTGGTATCTTACCAATGAAGGCATCCAGTACCTCCGTGATTACCTCCACCTGCCCCCTGAGATCGTGCCTGCCACCCTGCGCCGCAGCCGGCCGGAGACTGGCAGACCCCGGCCCAAAGGTATGGTGCAAGTGGGGCGAGGTGGCGTGTGTCTGTAATCCCAGTGCTTGGGAGGCTGAGGCAGGAGGAATCACTGAGTTCAGGGCCACCCTGATGACATAGCAAGGGCTTGTCTCAAAACAAAAACAAAGGTAAGGTGTGGATAACTCCCAGGGCCTGCTGAAAGCTCCTGTGTGTGGGACAAGAACGGGGTTTTTTCTTTTCTTTTTTTGTACGGGAGATCGAACTTGGGCCCTTGCACTTGCAAGGCAGACAGCAGAACCACTGAGCCAAATTCCCGGCTCCTTTCTTTTTAATGATGCACTGGTGCCAGCTTTAGAGGGACTGGCATGCGGGGCTTTTGAACCAGTCCCCAGCCTGAACAGAGGGCGTCAGGTCCTCTGGGGGCACCAAGCGGGAGTGGAGTTGCAGCTGGCTTCCCGCCCCCCCCATGAACAGAGTGTGGTGGCTGTTTTCCAGCAGCCAGAGGTTTTGCTCACCCCAAGAAGCCTGAAGCCCACAGCAAAGCTGTTCACTATGCATGAGAAGTCGTGTAGGGTTTCTTGGCAAGAGGAGAAGACAGTGAAAAAGTAGGATGTGTGGAGAATCAGGGTGTGAAACCATAGCCGTTGCGCTGGGAATTCTCTTCCTGCTCCTGAGGTCATGGCTGGCTCGGGCTTGCATTTTGTCAAGATGATGGCTCTACTCACATGGACTTTGTAGTTGCGGCACAGTTTGTGGGCTGAAGTGACAAAGGTGCCTAGATTTCTGAACGTGATGGTCGTCAGGCTGTCAGGCTCCGGAAACTTAGGGAAGCTCCCTGGAGGATCCAGTTCTGCTCCTTTAGGGGGCATCTCTGCTGGATACAGCAGTGTCTGCAGGGCCCAGGTGAGCCTGGTGTTTACGTCAGTCACTCGTCATGGAGCTTTTTGCCTAATGCTTTAAAAATAGTGTTCTCTAATCATGTAGTCTAGGGATGTTCCAGGGTAACAAGGGGGAATACTTGAGTAAGCTACTTTCCATATTTATGAGCATTTTAAGGTAGATTTTAGCTTTTGAAATCTGTGCGTTGTGGGCCGGAGATGTAGCTAAGTGGTTCCTCTGCCTTCCTCACAAGTGCGAGGTGCTGAGCTTGTTCCCCAGTACCCCCCCCCCAGCCAAAAGAAAGAAAATCTGCTTTGAGCTGGGCATGGTGGCACACGTCTGTAATCCCAGCACTTGGGAGGCTGAGGCAGGAGGAGCTGGAGGCCAGCCTGGGCTACTGTACACAGAAAGGCGCTGTCTCAAGACAACAAACAAAAAACCCTGAGCCTTGAGGCTTCGGTGTGGCTCAGGGGCCAGAGCTTGACAGCTGTGGCCCTGGGCTCCATGAGAAAACCTGGATGAGTCTTTCCAGGAGCCCCGGAGGAACTGGGGGTTCTTGGTGGCCTCTGGGGTATGTAACTGGAATTGGGGCTTTCAACTTATCCGTCCTCTCTCACTGGAACACTGTTTCCCATTGGAGGGGTGAATGAAATTCAGAATCTTGAGGGTCGGGGATTTAGCTTAGTGGTTCCGCTGCCTGCCTCACAAGCACAAAGACTTGAGTTTGATCCCCGGTACCAAATATAAATAGATAAGTAAAAATAATATGACAGGGCCAGGGATGTAGCTCGGTGGTACTGCACCTGCCGCACAAGTGCAAGGTCCTGAGTTTGATCCCTGGTACTAGAAAAAAATAAATTTTGGCCAGGCATTTGGCTTACTGGTTCTGCCACCTGCCTTGCAAGCACAAGGGCCCAAGTTCGATCCCTGGTACCAAAGAAACAAAAGCAAACCAGAATCTTGGGTGTTTGTTTCTAGAACACGCTTTTATGTGGAGAAATGATAGCGGGAGAACCACCTCCTTGCCCTGAGCTGCGCCCCTGGCTGGCCCTGTTGTGTGGCATCTTGGTGCGGTGTGTTTTCCTAGGCCTGGGGAGCCCTGCGCTGTCCCAGTGTCCTGTGCCCACCGTGTGCTTCTGTCCCTGCAGGCGTGGAGGGCGAGCGGCCCATGCGGCTCACGAGAGGCGAGGCCGACAGAGACACCTACAGACGGAGCGCCGTGCCCCGTGAGTGCGGCAGGTGGTGTTGGGTGGGACTGCGGGCTCCGCCTGGCCCTGGATGGGCTCAGCCCGGAAGGTGCCGAAGGGACGGCGAGGCTGCCCGTCTGTGGGTCCTCACGCGCTCCCCGACCCCCTTAACCCCTCCAGCTCTTCGTTGAGAGGACGTCGGTGACGGTCAGGCCGCGCTGGGCCTCGTGGGGGGCGCCGTGGGGTCCTCTGGGGAGGACGAGGTGGCTGGGGCGGGGAGCAGCGAGTTCTCACAGACAGGGCCCGGGACAGGGGTGATGGGCTTTGTCCTGAGGGTGCCGCTGCCCCTTCTGCAGGGAGCGGGGCGCCGGGCAGTGGCTCTAAATGGCTGTCTCTTCCCCAGCTGGTGCCGACAAGAAGGCTGAGGCTGGGGCCGGGTCAGCCACCGAGTTCCAGTTTGTGAGTATCCCTACCCCTGTGCGAGCCGTCGGTGCGGGTGCGGGGTGAGGCCTGTTCCCGAGTAAGTTTACGCGGCCACAGTGAGCAGATGGCCACTGGGTCTGCCACTGTGTCACTGAGCTCCTAACCCGGAATTCACGCCGGCAACCGAAGGGGCCGTGGGCGTCCGGATGGATCCTGGGTAAGGTGGATGTGGAATCGAGTCACCGCCTTCCACGTGTGGTCTCAGGCGGGTTCCTCCTGCCGGGGTTTTTCCTTCCATCCACTGCACAGAGACTTGGTCTGGGCAGCTGCCCCAGGCAGGCTCTCACCGGAAGGAGGCGAGGGCAGCAGGACCAAGAGTCCTGTGCCACTGGGGCTGCCGTTGTGCGGAGCCCTTGGCTGCATCCCACAGCAGCACAGGGCCTGGCTGGCTTCTGGGTCTTCGTGGAGAACCCTGATGTCTCTGCTTTTTCTTGCAGAGAGGTGGATTTGGTCGTGGACGAGGTCAGCCACCCCAGTAAAGTTGGAAGATGCTGTTTTCTGTTAAATAAACGTAGCAGGAGAACCTGTGTCTGTGTCCGTTATGTGGCACTGCAAAGCCCAGGTGGAGAGGTTCGGGGGGTCAGAATGTGGGCAGGGTTGGTGCCATCCATGCCCACCTGGTGCTGAGGTGGGAGTTTGCTCTGTGGGCCTGGCATTAGGCTTCCCTGCTCTCCCTGAGGTGCTAGACAGGATGGAAGGGAACTGCTCCTAGGTCCTGCACAGACCAGAAGAGTACAGCGCTCTGTTTAAGCTGGTTGGTGTTTTAGCTTTGGAGAGGAGGGTGGGTTACTTGCGATTGAAGCCGAGGCCCTCACACTGGGCGGCACCCCCTCCCCCCGAGGTCTTGCTGTGTTTTCCAGGCTTGGTGATACTCCTGTTTCAGCTTCCCAAAGTGCTAGGGTTACAGGTGTGCACAATGCTTGAATCAGTCTTAAAGTTTAGGGTTTATGAGGACAACAGGAGCAAATACACAGAAATTGGCTGGGGTACAGCTTTGGTAGAGTACTGTCAGGCTTGAGGCCCCAGCTCCTGTACCTAGGTCAAAAAAATTCCAGAGGTACACACACCTGTGATCCAGCATTCAGGAGGCTAAGGCAGGAGGATCACCATAAGTTCAAGGCCAGCCTGAACCAGATAGCTGGACCCTGTTACAAAATTTTCAGGAGGTGGGCATCGTGGCACGTGTCCAGTCCCAGGGCTCTGGAGGCTGAGTCAGGAGTATGGGGAGGAGGTCAACCTGAACTACAGAGCAAAGGCAGCTGGAGCTCATGTTAGCCGAGGAGCCCTTGAGAAGGGGCCAGCACCTTGGCTTCCCTGGGGCTGCTGCCCTGACATGGGACAGGAGAAATGGACCCAGGGCTGATGCCGAGTGCCAGACGGGAGGACACCTGTTTCCATGGCCCTGTATGTACACACCAGCATAGTGACCCAAGGCAGGGGGGTGATGGTGCATGCCATGATTCTAGCACTGGGGAGGCTGAGGCAGGAAGACCACTGTGAGGCTACACAGTGCATTCTAGTTCAGCCTGAGCTGCATTGCACAGCCAGGTGTCCAAAAACAATGACAATCCTAAACTACAGGCATGATCACCGTTCACCACCTGGGGTCTGTTGTGCTTGTCCTTCGGGCCACTAGGTGGCGGCTTGTCTGTCACAGAGGTGAGCTGAAATCGGCCTCCCAGAGGAGAGGCAGTGTTGGAGCTGGTCAGCCTCTGCTGCCCTGCTGTGCCAGCGGTGAGGTCCAGAGTTCTGTGTGGTCACTACCGCGTGATCGTGTGGCCCAGACTCCGGTCTGGTTTCCTAAAAACGTTATTGTTTCCCAAGCAGGGCGGGGCTCTGTGCCAGCCTCTTCCCTTGTGACTTAAATTGGCTCCAAATACATTTGAGAGGAGCTGTGAGCTCTGGGACGCCCGAGGCCTTGGGGTGTGGGCACAGGGACAGACTGTTGGGCTTGTGTTAGCTGCCCCGCAACACCCTGCTCGCTCTGGCTCCGCTGGCTGACGGGTGTGTGCGTCGTGCTGGGCTGGCCCGAGGGCACAGGCTAGGTGTGAGTGCTGCCCACCCAGGTCTCTGCTGCCGCCATGAACTTTTGCCCCCTGGCAGCCTGCCCTGGAGCCAGCCGGTTATGGACTGAAGCCTCTACAGACTGAGCCAGACAAACCTCCCCCTTTTAACTTTGGGTGTTGGTATTTTATCTCAGCCATGAGAGAAAAGTAGCAGGCATTTCCCTGAGGGATCGATGGAGACGCCCCTGCCGGTCGTCTGCACCTCAGTCTAGTCAGAAGCATCATCCAAGCTGTGTCCTGAGTCTGTAACACCGAACACTATACTCTGGGTTGCTGGTCTCTGAGCTCAGGGCAGGGGGGGCGGTGATGCTGAGGTGGCCAGCAGGGGTTTGGCAGGGGAGGGAGACACCAGACAGCACTTTTTTTTTTTAAAAAAAAAAGACGGTCTTGCTATGTACTTCAGTTTGGCTTTGAACTCACTGTATAGCCCAGGCTGGCTCTGAATTTGTGGGATTCTCCTGCCTCAGCCTCCGAAGTGCTGGGATTAGTCATGAGGTACCATGCCCAGACAACACATGTTGAGCTGCTATTATAAGAGCCTGAGAAGGTCACTGGGAGCACGGGTGGGGACAGCAAGAGGCCATCACTGGGGAAGGGCCAGGGAAGTCATGACTCGTCCTGCAGGGTTGGTTTCCAGGTCTGTCACAGCCTGCACCTGCCGCCCAGCCCCGGGTCTTACCAACTCATCCCCACCATTACTACGGCCACCAAAACAGGCTCCGAACAAGCAGGAGGATCACTAATTCAAGGCCAGCCTGTGCTCCATAGTGAGACCCAGTCTCAGGAAAAAAAACAAAAAAAAAACTACAGAAGATTTTTCCCCCATTAAATTAACTGGTACATTTAAAGTTAACAATACAGTAGAGGCTTTTTAAAGGGACTTTGGAAGCTTCTGGATGATTAGTTTTTTTGACAAATTTGGGGCGGCAGTTAAATCTCTGCCTCGAGTCCCACCCCTGTTCAGATTAGTTTACTAAGACCTTTAGGAAGCCACTGCCGCCTGCTAGATGCGGGGGACGCTGAAAGGTCTCTGAGGAGCCCCTGCAGCGGGGCGCTGTGGACCGGGCTCTTCCTGGGCTTGCGGTTCCCCCCCTCCCGCCCCCGGGGTTTGCGCGTCCTCGGTTTCTGCACCACGCATCCTACAGCGTCGCTGTTTTCAGTCCCATTTCCTCCATCCCGGCGGGGACAGTTTGGGTTCCGCAGTGGCGCTGCAGGGCCTGTGGTTTCTCCTCCCTGGTTCTGTTTACCCTTGACCTGGTGGTGGACAGCGGTCTATTTCCGGTTCCGAGCTGTGGTTGCTATGGAAACCACGACGTGGGGGGGGCGGAATTCCCAGCTCTTCCAGGTGCTCCTGGACCAGCACTAATTTCCAGTGCTTTTGCTTTTCATCTTTGCCACCCGACTGGGCCAGCAGTTGTTCTTTTTTGGGGCGGGATCTTACCATACTGCTTGGCTTCAAACTCTCAAGCCACCTTAGTTTTCTAGTATATGCACAGTACCAGCGTTTGGGGGTTGAGCACTAAACCGCATGCCCAACCCCCCTTTTTTATTCTAATCACTAAGTCCCTAAATTGCCCAGGCTGGGCTCACATTTAGGATCTTTCTGCCTCAGCCTCCTGTAGCACACCCATCTTATTTTTAACTGACAAATAATATTTACATGTGATATTCTGATGCATGTATGCACTGTTTTGTTATTTCTTTACTTTCGTTTCTAAAGCGTAAATCAGGCCACTGAACATCTCCATCACCACATATCCTTACTATTCGTGGTGGAAACATTTTAAATCTTCTTTTCAGCTACTCTGAAATTAGTGTTAACTGTAGAAACTGCTGTGCAACAGAACACACAATTTGCCGTGGGCTGGGGCTGGGGGTTTATCTCAGTGGTTCTGCTGCCTGCTTCACAAGCACAAGGACTGGCAAGGACTCGAGTTCGATCCTCGGTACCAAAAAACAAAAACAAAAACAAAGCAAAACAAAAAAAACCCAACAACAATTTGCCGTGGGCTTGGGTCTCCCATTTCCCTCACCCTCCACCTTCAGACTGTGAGCTGGCTGTCATCCTTAGGGCAAACAACCCTTCACAGCTATCAGAGTGCTGAGATTAAAAGACTGACCAAGCACTAGGTGCACACCTGTAATCCTAGCACTGGGGAGGCTGAAGCAGGAGGGTCACCTCGAGTTTGAGGCCAGCCTGGACTACACAGTGAGGCTGTCTCCAAAAAAACCAAACCAAACCCCCAACAAAAACACTGAAGATGAGAATTAACATGGCCCAAATTGCTCTTACTAAAGAACAGAGTGAGCTGAGTTTGGGGGTACGAGGTGACCACACCGCAGCAGTGGCCCCAGGTGAACCCCTGGGTCCCAGCAGCTGCGTGGCCTGCTGGGGGCGGGGCGGGTGCCATCATCTGATCCCTCACTGGGGTTGAAGGGAAACTGGGACAGAATGAGGGCACTGGGGTGGGGGGCGAGGGGAGGAAGGAATTGTTAAAGTGCCGGCCCATGGAAGCCTGCAGCCCGTTTGTTTAAAGCACTTCACGGGAGCCCGTGATGAATGTATGGCACAGGCCCAGAGAACAGGCCCTGGGGAAGTGGGCCCGATCCGGGGCAGTCAAAGGGGCCACTGTGAGGAAAGGGCGCTTGTAACAAGAAATAGATACCGCTCTGAAGAGAGCCGTGAGAGGCCTCCTGCTCATGTGAGATGGGCTTTAAGACCCCTGAGGACTTCTGGGGAGAAATGTCAGACAGTCCTAGTCACTTCGGTGAGTGGAAAGTTACATTCAGTTTGTGGCTCTGCAGCATGCATTTCCCCTACGTTCAACTCGCAGCACCACTTGCTAGATTTATTGTTTGTTTATTCGCAACCCAGGACCTTCACACTGAGCTACACACTCTGCCCTTTATTTATTTTGTTTTTTTGAGACAGGGTTTTTCTATGTAGCCCAGGCTGGCCTCAAACTCAGTGATCCTCCGGCCTCAGCCTGTGGAATGCTGGGATTATAGGGCTGTGCCACTACTCTTGTCCTATTTTTTTCTTTTGAGACAGTCTCCTTAAATTTCCTAGGCTGGGCTTGGACTCGGGATCCTCCTGCCTCAGCTTCCCAGAGTACTGCTTTAACAAGGAGGACCTTGGCTGGGGGTTTAGTGGTTCCGTCGCCTGCCTCACAAGTGCAAGGACCCGAGTTGGATCCCCAGTACCAAAAAAACAAACTAGACCCATATCTTTTACTATGCACTAAACTAAATTCAGAATGGATCAAAGATCTAAATATTAAAACAGAAACAATCTGCTGGAAGATAGGTAGACTTCTCAAAGACACTGGTGTAGGCAAAGACTTTATAAACAAAACCTCAGTTGCACAGAAACTACCACAAAGAATCAACAACTGGGATCTCATCATATTAAAAAGCTTTGGCACAGCAAGAGAAATCACCAACAGAGTGAACAGACAACC